TTCCTACTAATCTGGCCTTTCACGCCTTATCCTATTCAACTAGCTTATACATATTGGGATACGTTATTCCGTCTATCATCCGGCTGGACCACATCGTATCCCACACAATCATAGTAACTGAAAGCAAGATACGTCTAGAAGTAAGCTCTTTGAGGTTAATTTTGATTAACATAGTTGCTGTTAGACCTCGACCGGAAAACATGCCCCACACTTTCAGCTGGAGAAGAGATTTTGGCGCCTAATTTCAACTGAGTTTTCTGGAAAGCTCAGGCCAGGATTGTGGGTACGACTTTGGTACTCCTAAAAACCTGCGTTAGATATCTCTACATAAACACTTAGGGCGTTATTGTACTTATATAGTAAATTATTTCAGTACCATATAAATGTAAAGGCCTGATGAGAATTTATCGAAAACAAACGTATGTTCGCCAATTTATCTTCTGAAATTATTATACGCCGAAGTACCCCAAGGTGCAATCATTGATAAATCTATAGGGTTAAAAAATGCATGATAAAAGGTTCAATGGAGTTGCCTTACAAATATGCATAGTTCGGGCCAATTTTGAGCGAAGTATCGGTAGGTCACATCGGGATAGCCCGAGCAGAGGTTGTATGGAATGTAGCGTCGGATTAAGTCAAGGTCATGTTCGCCCTGGAAGTTTCGATAATATTTCTGCCCGGGGTAGTCATGGTAATCAAGGTAGCCAAATTGGGTTTCGATGAATCTCTCGTGGTGATCACGTTCATAGTCCTTTTCTGTCAATTTTGGCACGATAAACCCCGGCATGTTCGCGGAAGCTGGACACCTCACGGCATCCACCAATGAGTGATCGATCAGGACAGCTGAGGAATTTAAACAACCACGTGGATGATCCGACAGAACGACACAAGACAGCTAGTTGCAGCACAAAACCCTGCTGGGGGATGGGAGAGGGGCTTGGCATGGCTGGTTTTGCAAGTTGGAAGGGCAATTCAGAAATTAGCTTCAACCTGAATTCGGGTTGACAGCTAACCGAAAAGGGGGTCATTTAACTTCCTTCCTCAAATTAACTGAATACCAAGGGATCCCAACATCGAAATGCCTGTGGGGAGGTATCCTTTCGGTCCTAATTCGGTTTCTGAGTAACTTAGGATGTTATTAGATAGGGTGACTGATCATTCCAATCGTAAGAAAATAATAAATTAAGCAGTATACTGAAATTGACTCAAAATCCGCTTCACTTGACGAAATTCAAATCAGTGACGGGAAGGAAGAGTAACCATATGTGTGAGCTACGAGCTTCCGACCAAGAACCTTGGCCTTTTTATAGTTGGAGTAAATTGTCCACGTGATTTAAGTACTAGGCATGTCCAATAAAAGAAAGATATGTTTTCGATTGCGGTTATACAAAG